CTTTCCCAGAAAATTCAAAGAATTAAATCTTCATAATTGTACAAATTTAAAGTTGATGAAATTTCAAGCTCCAGACCTTCAAAATCCTGGGAGCATTTTACCTCCTACATACAGCACGACAATTGTTTACGTTCATTGTGAATTCTTTCCGCACCTGAATTATCAGAATTATTTCCTGAAATATTATTATTTTCTCTGAATTACCAGGGTCTGGAACCAGCTGTTAGCAGAGAGCAGATGTGATATAGCTAAGGTAAATTGTGAGTTGACAGTTCTTACTTTTTCAGAATCTAGTAAGTCCTTTCATCAGGAAGTCCTGATCTCACTGGTAAGAATTTAAACTGACAATCAAAATATAGTCAGAACTAGCAAATATTAGATTTTCAATTTATCAAAAATCTATTACTAATGTTTGCCCATTCTTTAAAGATGTTTGTTTTATACAAAGATAGATATCCCTGGTGATTTCAGATTTCAGAAGAATGATATGGGATGAGAGGCTGATGAAATTTACTTACAATTTGAAATAAATGATCCTAATTTCTTAACTTATACTGTGGCTTTCAATATTTGCTATATAGTAGTATTTACCTACTGTATACTATGAATTAAGTTTTATGACACCTCTGTCAGGTAGATGTTTTAAAAAAAGGAAAGGGAAGAGATATAAAACATTTGGGAAAAAAACTTCTAATCCATAATCCTGATGCAACTTCCCCAGATCTTTCTGGGAAGAATCTTGCAGTGGAATCCCAAATTTCATGTTAAATTAGGGCAGAAAATACTCTTTGTTCATAAAACGTGCTTAACGTCCCACGAAACTCCAATAAAAGTGCTATTACATGGATTACTGTTATCTTAAAACACTGAAAAGAAATGTCTGAAAACCCTCGCTCTGTAAATAAGTCCAAGCATAAAAGCTAAAAGCAAATACTCAGGCTAATCAGATCAGTCTCAGATATTAAACTGCAAAATATGTAACACTTGTAAAACTTACAGGCAAATTAGCCCAGAATATTAGCGGGAAGAACACAGCCCCAAGGGAGAGGCATATCTCATAAGGAAAATAACATGACAAAGTCCACAAAACAAGATTAAATATATCTTAACGCCAAGCCACAGTGAAAACCCAGTGCATTCATTTTCTATTAGTGAGAAGGTCAGATATAAACCTGTGACTGAAATCACACTGCACGGCAGCGACCGTTCACCATATGGAGCAGCGTTGATGAAGTGGGGCAGGAAGGGCATGAGAAGGGCGACTCTTCAGCTCGTTCTGCTATCCCTCCCGGCACATTCACATCCGGTTGAAACTTCACACCAAAAGAACTTTACAGCAATGCTCAGAGAGGGAGAACAGTGTTTAAAAGGACGTAAAGAAGGGAGCAGGGAGTTAAAGATGTTTCAAGAGAAAGCCAGCAAGGTATAAAGATACAGGAGGATAAAACCATCGTGCAGAAGAAATGATGGGCTGTTCAAAAGGAAAGAATGGACTGGCACTGATGAGCACTGATTATCACGATGGATGAAGACGAATGCAGGCTAAAGTGCAACTGCTTTAGGATTTTTATTTTTAGTCATATTGTTGAAGAAAATGGGCTTTCAAAGCAGAGTACTTCATGGCTGCCATGTTCATGTGCCTTTAACCAGGACGTATAAAGACTACATCACCAGCACAAAGGAAATTTTCAATGTCACTGTAAAACCTTTACGGAGGAAGAAGAGTTCAAACTGCAAAGTACAGATCCTGAACCAAACTTTCCAAAGTTTGGAGCACCAGAATTTCCAGATATTTCTCATTAGAAGTGCTTCAAGAGCACTTAGAGGAAAGGGTTCCTTTTTTTCTACTATCAGTAATGCCAAAAATAGTAAGAATTAATGCATGCAAGTTGTAATGGATTCTCAAACCCAGAAACATCTCTCTCCCATCAGAAAACATTAGTGAAATTTGACATAATTCATGTAAACTCAGTCTACGGACATTTATGAACCAGTCACCTCAGAATCCCCATTTCTAGCCATATTAAGTCTCACACATACAGTCTTTCTGTTATGAATGTATGGATCGATTAAAATTCAGAGATGGCAAGCAGAAAGCAAGGTTATTTATTGAAGGAGTAGATACTCCACCAAACTGCTGGGTTTTCTGCTGGGCAGAGATCTAAATCTAGTCCAGAGACACAAAGAAGAATCAGAGAGACTTCAAATTCCGGAAAGGTACATTTTCGACAGAGCATTTCTTTCCTTCTGTTGAAGCATATGAAATATTAATGTCAATTCATTACACATCAATGCATTTGTATACTCCCCTGTTACCAAATGTCTAAATGAAAACAGCCTGTTCTGAATAATTTACTCCTGAATCATCAGCCAGCTTTCTTCTGTAAATCCAGATCTTCACTATTCACCAAATCGCATCTATGACTGACAACCTTGTAGAAAAGATATTCTCTCTGTTGAGTTTCAGAAAGGTACAAGCATATGCGTACCTGATGTGCTATGAAACTTGGTATTTAGAACAGATATAAAAGCACTAATGATAAAGTAAAAATACATATAAAGGCTATAAAACTCGACGGTTTGAAGTCTGTGGGCTGGATCCAGCGTACAAGAACAACTTGTTCAACCTCCAATAGCAGTCTCTGAGACCATCTTTCCAGGAGGTCCTCAAACACATGTGGGAAGAGGCTGAGGACTGGATGAACTGCTCTGGCAACCCATGTGCTGCCATTTCAGTCCTGGAGTTCCCAAAACTCAGCCCACCACAGGAGTGTGCAGCCTGATGTGGACTGCCTCCACCAAAAGCTTTTCAGCAGAGAACCTATTTAATCCAAAGCTAAAGGCTATATGAAACCACAGCTCCTTAAAATAAATGACGACTTTGACTCAAGTGGTGACAATGCTAATTATTCCATAATTATTTCTGTAAATAGCAGCCTGATACCCTCGTTCGCACCAAGCACCAGACTTGCCGACAGCTCACTACTGTCCTCAGCGAAGGAGGAAAAGTTATGTCTGATGGCAGTTCAGAAAATACATTCACACAACTACTTCCCTTTCAAATACGAAGCTGCATTGCTGAAATAATTCATTCTGGTTTTGTCGTAGGGCTCTTCGGTAAGAGAAATTACAGAAATGTGCATTCTTCCTTCATATTCACATCCCCTTTCTCCCACTGCACAGGGTAGAAGAAATTTAAATGTACTTGCTGATTTGTGTTACCATAATAATAATCCATTACCAGGGAAAAAACAATTTCAAAACAAGAGTCAGTAACTACATAATTCCCTTATGAAATACAGAAGTGGTTTTGAGTTAAGGATTTTTTTTTAATGAACATGGGTATTTTTCCCATTTGCTCACTAATGTACTCATTCTAATGTACTCACTGTAACCTTTTTTCAAAACTTTTTTTCATTTGTTACTAATAGCATACAATTATTTCCAATCTTAAGATCCTGAGCCAAAAACTCCACTTTTTTGAGGCTAGGAAAAAACCTAAAACCACACACCATTATTGTATTGGTTGCTGCAGAGATACACAAGTGGAAGGCAAAGGGTCAGCACTTAGGAAGGGTAATCTTTCAAACACTGAGAGGAAAAATGGATTAACAGAATAACTTCAACAATATATACTGCCTGAGTAGGATCCCAATTTACTCGTACTTTCCTTCTGGTCTTGCTATAGCCACACGGTTTCGGTTAAATCATTCAGTCTGTATAGGTATACTACAGGTGTGTATAGATATGTATGTGTATGTATATAATTTTTTTTTTTTTAGGAAGATGCAATCCAGGTACTTTTTGCTATAAGCTACTAAGATATTGCAAAAAAGCAAAGAAACTTACTAAATGTTAACTAATAATATCAAAACCCCCAAATTACCTCACAGGATGATGTGCAGTAGCTACTGCTAAGAAATGAGGTTTTAAGATTTGCTAACACGTTGCAGAGGAAAAAGATACCAAACTGAAACACATTTCCTGCCAGAAAAAGGCAGCAAAATTGAAGATGGGAAGCCATGCCTTTAGTCATACACTCACATGAATTATAAAGATTAAAAAGAAATGCAGTGTTCCGCATTGATAGAGCTATATATCTCTTTCAGACAGCTAAGACTGGATTGCACAATGTGACCAGTAATAAAAATGTACTTGTGACGTGAAAATAGGTGTTATGTAAAATAAAGAGGAGTCCTTCCCCTCTTTTATCCTAAAACGTAAAGAATGCTTGATCTCTTATAATCTGTGAACTTTATTATTTTTCAGCTTCTACTTTGCAGATATTACTTAATTTTAGTACTTGATTAGAACAAAAAGACCAATCCACTTCGCAGCACAAGGAATACAAACATAATTTTAGTAAAACTGTTAGTACAGCTGGTTTTATGTTTAATTTCTACATCCTCAGATTTTTCCCGAGCTTAACGTAAAGAGAGCTGTCAATGCATATATGAATATATAATGTTAGCAAAAATTGCCTTCAACACCCAGAACATACCTTTGTGTCCAAAGATGGATCACAAATTCAGATACACTAAGGGCCTGTTGGTGAAAAGTATACTGACCTGATTTGGACGCAGCAAATTCAGCAACAGGTAAAATGTTTCAGCACATGCACAGATAAATCAGATTTATATATTTCTCAAAAGAAAGCTTACCTGCCCATTTTTCCCCAGTTCCATTTCAACTATTGCAACAGGAGTGTTTATCTGATCGATGTGTCTTGACTGTGACTTCAGATCCACTCGCCAATTCATGTTTTTCAAGACATTATCCCAACGGCTTTGATTGATCAGGTTCTCGTGGATCTTTATTCTGTGGTTCTTCCAAAATTTTGCAATGACTGCAGCTTGATCTGACGTTATGCCACCTTGTTTTTTGGTTTGGGCAGTGAGAAAAGCCTCCAGCTGATTCAAATCCATGTCTGCTGAAGCAATTGACTGTTTTTTGGGAAAATAAGAGGAGAAAAAGGGAAAAGCTTGTTCAAAAATACTCTTCAACAGTCTAAGCTGAACAGTTTACCAAAAGGTCGCATCCTTAGGGTTTTACAAGTATTGGATTTTAAAAGGATAGTGCAAATAAAGCTGGGTTATGGAAAAAACCTGACAACTGTCATGAAAACTCAACTTGCAAGTGCCTACGACTTATCCCAGATTCCTGCCCCCAGACAGCTGGAGGGTAATAGATCATTAAACAGTGATGAGGAAACCGGGAGCACCTTTGGGAATGCAGTACTGGTACAGGACAGCAAGGAGGCTTCTCCCTGTCTGCCTGGCCCTTTCCTCCAGTATGCCCTGGGCATACACAGTCAGTCACTGCTGGGAGCACTGGGTCTGGGGTCCAGCATGATACCGCTGTTCTTGATAGTCTATTAAACAGGAAAGATGAGGCAAACACAGCATGCCCCCAGCCACGGCTGAAACAAGCAAGGAGACATCCCAGCTCGTTGCAACATTCCCAGCTTCGTTTGCCACCTCCGTGCCATGGACAAGGAAGCAAAACCGGTAAACACCGCACCAGCCAGGCAGGGCGGGCAGCATCAGCCGCAGCAGCAAGAGCCGGAGTCTTCCATGGGAGAGCCCGTGCGCGTGAAGCAATCCTTAAAAACGCAACTGCAGCTTCTTCTGAAGCCTCAGTGGACTCCGTCAGGCTAAATTCTGTACTTGTGTTTTGCAAGGGGGCGTAAAGGATCATTTGCTACTCTTCTCTGCACAGCAACAGAAATTGTACTTTCCAAACCCCTTTTTAAATAGATATCCAGTTTTTCCCCCTATTTTCCTAAAGCTGATAATCCTACAGCCTCAAGTTTGCATTGTCTAACTGGCAATGGTTGCTAAATACAGCTGCATCCCTTCACAGGAGGAGGACAGAGGAAACTGTGGCTAAGTTTCCCGACTGTAGTTTCAAGCAGATGGTTTTGCATCTTTCACATCCAAAATGGATGCAGCGTCTCCTAAATGAACATGCTGCTCTCCAAGCACGCGCCGATATGGAGCACAGCCAGGTGAAGTGCAGCCAACGCCACGATCCTTGCGATTTGCCTCGATTTAATTTTCCTTGACATGGTATTCCTACTGCTGTACTCCATACGTTCAGGGAAATAATGATCTTGTTAGCCAAAGAGGTGACACCGTGTGGCTTTTGGCTGGATGCACACCGTGTGCTTCACACTGCTCGTCTGCAAAACTGGGTATCGCTTATCTAAAAACCGATGGGTTAGGGCTCCGTGAGCTTGCCGAGGTCACAAGACCTGCTGCTTCTCCCCCTTTCATCAGCAATGAACTAAATTTGTCAGCAGAGTGAGCTCCCAGCAGGCTTTGCTGCCTCTCTCTAGACCACACAGATGTCAAAGTATGCCATCTTAGTCACATCAGGAGTGGCCTGAAATAAAACGGCAGGTAAAAAAAAAACCCCACAAGAACTAGCCCAAAACAGAGAGCTCACACATCACATAAGCAACAAAGAACAGCAGCAGGTTTACTGCTTTGAAGGGAGTAAAGCCAGCAACCTCTAGCAGATATACCACCACATCCTCCTTATCCTGAGGTTTTTTCCCCCAAGAGAAAAGCAAATCAGAAACAACCCCCCCAAAAAACCCCAACAAACAGCTCATCATCTACAATGCTTATGCTGCCTTTTATCATCCAGTGCATAAGATCTTTCTCCTGAAGCTTTTGTAGTATTTTTTACAAGAGGAAGCAATGCTGTCCCTCGCTCTTGTGGTGGAACAGCTGCCATCTGTTACATGATCAAGAAAAGAAATGGCAATCCACATGACGTAACTGCTCGGCTCTATCAGGGTTCCAGCCTAATAGGAGCATCTGCCAATTTATTATAAAATTTGAGAGGCCTAGTGCACCGCTGTGTCTTTTCTATAGGGTATTCGCCGTATCTGTATATATTGTTTGCTTTTATCATGAAGATACTTAAGAGGTAACTATCCTGTAATATCTAATTACGCCGTAACTGAAAAAAGCACTTTTAATTTTCAAAAGAAAAGCTATTCAGACTTACAGTCCTTTCCTACAGCCATGTCTTACATGAACAGGACTGTATATGAACAAGAGTGTGATATAATTTCTCTTTTAACATTTTTCCTACCACTACCACTACATCTGTTTGGGGATCTGTTTGCATGTCGTGTGACACCAGCTATCACTTATGTACATCTTTGGTGTTGGTTTATGCAAACAGGGGGAGGAAAAAGGGTGAATCAACAACCCCAGACCCCAGCACCTTACGTAAGCCCTGTCAAGACAAAGACCAAGCCGAGATGCAGACTTTCTCCTCAGTTCAGCTGTGCAGAAAATTGCCTTCTGTTTCATGCCTGCGCAGGAACCAAGAACACAAACTGTGTCCTCTGCACAGAATGAAGCAAAGGTGTCACGAAGAAACATTTAATCTGCATTAAATGTGAACCTAATGCAGATTCACTAGATCAAATAAACCAGGTAACCCTTTCTTAGCTTGATTTTAACACCTTCAAATATTTCACATTTGTAACTCTTAGGAGTTTCTTTTAATCTCATCCCTTTCACAACTTTTTTTGCAAGATGCAGCAAGATCTCTGGCAGTGCTTTGCTACGCTGATAAAAACCACACACACAAAGTTCCTTACTGTGCTTGACACGTTATATAAATCTGACTCCAAAGTGTATCCAAAAGAGGAAGCTTATGACAAAGTTTGCAGATTTAAGCATAAGGAAGACAAAAGATTATTATTAGGGCTTACACAGGACAGCTAAACTTGCCCGTTTGGCAAATATCATCGACAATTTGACGATTAGTTAGGATCCAGTGCGAGCCACATTTAAAACCTCTGTACGTTCATGTACTATAAGCAACCTGATACAGTCTGCTACCAAAATACTATCATGTAAAACAGAGGAAGGAAACCATGTACCATAATTAGCAATAATTTATATATCTCTCAGACACATGCACATGTACACATGATATGGATCGCTTCATGCTGTACATGTAAAGAGCTAAAAAACACCAGAAGATAACAACCACACTATGTTTTGGGTGGAATATTTATCAGATAATGCATACTTTAAATAATATAGTGATATAGTCCATCATTCAGATTAGAATCTCTCTCAGGTTAGAAATACGACTACTACTTAAAAGCTCTTTTTCTTTAAAAAAAAAATAATATAAATTTTAATTGGAAGCCAGTACAACCAATCAATGACTTAGACTTCAGTAAAGCTGCACAAAGATATTAATGAAGACATCTTTTCTTTGAAATTCCTCAACAAAACCCACCAGCTATAAAGGTCTGCAAGTTACAGAAGAACAGCAACTCATTTTAATACTCTTTCTCATCCTAACTTGGAAATATTTCACTGTGGACTGGAAACCTGATAAGTTACAAAGAATGAGAGAACAATTAAAGTCTTTGCTTATCTTCCATCTCCTTTATTGTAGGAACACTTCCACAACTCATTCTTTAAAGAAGTGTAGTTCTACTCTATTGCTCGTATGAATGACCAGTTAAACTTCAAACTTTTTTTAGCTTGAGGAAACGTTTTAATTAAACTTGGCAAAAAATTTTATTTCCATTCATATTCTGCACAGCATTACAAACAGTTCTTTTCATTACTTTTAACCATGCTCATTTACTACACAGAATATCAAATTACAGTGAACATGCCTTATTGATATTTCTAAGAATTAATTTAAAGTTAAAACATGAGTGGTTCTTCTGAGCTTAAACTAAAGACGGATAAAATATACCTGACTATAGATCTCCCTCTCCTGTTTTTAAACCTTAGGAGCTTTGGATGAGCATTTACTACCACCAGAACAATGACCAGCTGCTGTCCAGCTCCCATAGCAGTGACAAAAATAGCTTCACTGCCAGAATAAACAACACACGCACATTTTAGCATCATAATCAGAAACTTCTCAGGACTTAAAGGAGTTGAAACCTGTTTTATCCATCAGCTCCTACAGCTGAATCACTATCAGCACTGGTTCAAGAGGGATACATCTTATTAGTGCCAATTACTTAGTCCAGACTGACCTCAAAGCACAGAATCTACTGCTGTACCTTGAGTCACTGTGCTGTCAGTGACTCGTCATCATATTATATAGACTTTATATTCTGAGCTAAGTGTGTGCACATGGAGATTGGCCTTAGTTGTTTCCCACCCCTCTTCAGCAGTCCTCGATAACCATACTGTTGAAATACATTATCACACCCCCTTTTTATTTACAGACTGCCCCTAGTTCTGTAGCATGTCAAGAAGCGCTGTGCTATGACACCCAGAAAAAAACATTATGTAGGAACTAATTCCAGTTTTTACTGGTGTCGTGGGTTAGGCCGATACAGCAACTAAACCCCATGCAGCTCTCCCACCCCAGTAAAATGGAGAGAAGAAAAATGTAATAAAAGAGCTGAGGATCGAGACAGGAACAGAGGAGCACCCACCAACCATGGTCCCGGGCAAAAGAGGCTGTTTTTCTTAAAACAAAACTATTTATTAACAGCTACCTAGAAAGAGAAAAGCAAACAAAAACGGTTACTTAAGAGGATAACAAGAAAACAAGGCCAGGTCTTAAAAACAACACCACTCCCCCGCCTTTTGCCTCTTCTTCCCGGCTCCACCTCCTCCCCCCAGCGGCGCAGGG